AAAAAAAAAAAAAAAAAAAAAAAAAAAAAAAAATTGGTTCGTGTGAGAATCGAACACACAACCACCAAGTTTCCCGTAAAATGATTAGGCTATTTTTTTTCTAATTTGCATAATGAATTTTTCAAACATTTTTGTCTATTTAAAAAAAGTGTGTAAGTTATGGAGATAGTAACAATCAAAAATCGATTATAAATTTAATTCTACATTTTTAGACAAAAAATAAACCCTCTTGGCCCATAGCCCATTTTTGACACCATAACCATGCTTAATATTAACCTGCATTGTATATATACGAAGAATTTTTTCTAGTAATATCACAGATCAGGGGTAGTAAACTCGGCGATCGTGGGTTCGACTCCCACACGGGGTAAGTTTCTTTTTATTTTTTTATTTTTTTTATTTTTTTTTTGAAGGTCGTGGGTTCGATTCCCACACGAGCCAGATTTTTTTATTTAAAAAATTTTTTTTTAAGGCAGTTTAGTTGATGGTGGATAATGAATAGCAAACCTGGAGGTTGTGTGTTCGATTCCCACAAGAACCATTTTTTTTTTGTTAAACGAAGTCACTAAATAGAGATCAAAATGCAGCCTCTACGCGCGGTGGGCGGTCAGCATAGCACCAATAGAAAAGTGAGAAATGACGGTGACCTTTTTCAAGCAATACAATTGAAACAAATAATAAAGCAATCAGAAAAGAATTGCCTTCCAAATGCAGAAGAGAATACAAAAATCCGACAAGAATTTGCCAGATACGACTGTGGAAAAACAAAAAATGACCTAAAAACAACTAATGTCAACGTGAAACACTTTTGCTAGGCTATTCTCGCTCTTGAACGATAATGTTGCAAGAAGAACCACTTCGTATTTTTTTTTTTTTTTTAGCTTTTTTGATTTGTCAATATGTATGGCTATATTTCAAGCAATAAAATTGAAACAAATACTAAAGCAATCAGAATAGAATTGCCTTCCAAATGCAGAAGAGAATACAAAAATCCGACAAGAATTTGCCAGATACGACTGTGGAAAAACAAAAAATGACCTAAAAACAACTAATGTCAGCGTGAAACACTTTTGCTAGGCTATTCTCGCTCTTGAACGATAATGTTGCAAGAAGAACCACTTCGTATTTTTTTTTTTTTTTAGCTTTTTTGATTTGTCAATATGTATGGCTGATAATTTTACGTTATTTTGTCAGGTCGAGGTGATTTCACTTTATTTGACAATAGACTGATATTATTTCCACTCACCATAGTGTAGTCGCAATATTACTAATACAAAAGTGAAAGTTAAAAGGGGGAGAAAAGCAAAAATCTCTTGATTGATTTTAAAAGTCATGTACTTGCAAAAAGATTAAATTAATCATTGTTGTAAGTTAAAATTAATAATAATAATAATAGGCCTTATAATAATAATAATTAAAAAAATAATAATAACAATAATAATAGGCCTTATGATAATATAATATGCCTATTAATAATAATAATAATAATAATAATAATAATAATAATAATAATAATAATAATAATAATAATAATAATAATAATAAAGATTTGTAAAGCGCAAACATCTCCACTTAAATAGGTGCTGGGCAGTGTCAAACAAGCAGTAGAGAAAAAAACAAGATACATACCGTATCACAAGAAGAAAATGTAACAAGACTCATCATTTTATTACTTTACCTTCTCACACCTTCTCATACCAATGTCTTTCGATATTTCCTTTTCTTTTCTTTCTCTTTCTTACACTTTTCTTTTTTGTCATATGTTTCCTTATCTCTTTCCTATTCTTTCTTATGTTTTCTTTTCTTCTTTTTTTCCTTTCTTATGTTTGCTTTTGTTTCTATGTTTCATTTTCTGTTTTAGTCTCTCCTTTTCTTTCTTATGCTTCCTTTCCATTCCATTTCTTTCTTATTATTTTTTCTTATTCTTTTCCTTTTCTATCTTAGGATTTTCATTTCTTTTCCTTTTATCTTTTTCTTTCCCCCTTTCTTTCTTATTTTGTAGTTAAAATCAAGGCCCCCGTGACCTTTTTCAGGGACCAACGTTTCTCTATTGATTTATCAACACGAGATACAAAAAAATGAACGGGCGGGAGGGGGGAACCTCCAGAAAAAGGGCGGAACGTCCTTTAAAGTTGGATAAGATTCTTTTAGCAGACCTTAGCATATGATCATATATTTTTATTTTATATATATATATATATAAAATATAGTATATATATATATATATATATATATATATATGTATATTGCAATCTTGTTCTTTTAGATTATAATGACTTTGTTCTTTTTTTTTGTTTTTTGTATGTTTTTTTTTATTAGAAGAAATGTAAACCCCAAATATAGTGCAAATATTTATAAGATTGTGTCCCCTCACTCACAGTTATGAATTTTTCTATCTGTTTTCCATTTTTTCTCTCGGTTTATAAAATATCCATTCGGTGACCATCATTAGATTGTTGATAATGAAAGCTTGATTTCCGCTCCTTTGCATATTTCCCTGCGATATACAACATTTTTAACACTTTAAATTTATTATTTGTCGTATTAAACAACATGGTAGGCCCAAAAAATAAAAATAAAGCAACATTTTTTTCTTCTGAAATTTCCATTTTTCGTGGCGGTGAGTGTGCTAATTGGCCAAATATAAATTTGTTTTATTCGAATCATCATTTTAGAGGGCGAAATATCCTCTAAACAAGGTACTAAAAAGTTTGCCATATCTACGACCATACTACATCTGAAGATCGAGAATATAGAAGTTGTTAATAGTTTAAATGATTTTTTGTTCTAGAGTGGATTTTTGATATGCCATTAATAATAGAATCAACCTTAAAATCGATCTTTGCCTGTATGCTGTTATTAACAACATGGCTGTAAATTGTGATTGTTACAGCATGCACGCAAAGATCG